CAGAGAATGCAATGAAGATAATTTCACAAAATAACTTCAACCCTATAAGGAAGTAATATTCGATTTTGTTAATAGTTGGCCATGTGGTGAATATCTTTGGAATGGTGACTATTTCACAATTGAATCCGGTGTAAGGCAAGAAAGGTTGGGACATAAGTTAAAATGTTGGATTTAAACAAGGCTGACTTTGAAAGATTGAGAGAAATTACTAGTTGAGAAATATAAAATTAATTTCAAAATAAATACACACACCTGAAGGATAAAAAGTGGACTTCAAGGGTGATGAAAGCACTGGTTACTGGTCTAGTTGTAATCAGTTTTAAACAAATGAAGTCAGCAAGGGTGAATGATGGTGACAAGTGTTCTTATTAAAAGTGTGAGGTAAAGGGAATGTTAAAAGAGGAATGGATCCATTTGAAACGCTTAATTATGGCAATAATTACAATACATATTATAGAAATTACAACATCAACAGAAGCTAATTCCATTTCTTTGCTCTTTATTCATATCCCTTTGAAGTATTGATTCAATTCCATTAAAATGTTGTTTCGGCTTCTGCTTCAATAACTACTGGGAGTAAAGCTCGAATGGCCTGAGGGTGGGGAAACCTCTCTTAACATACTGTTAGTAAGTGAGTAGAAGGTAAAGGGATGGCCTGATCGAAATCTACAGGACATTAACAGGAAAGGCAGGGTAGATGAGGATAAACTCTTTCTGCTGGGTGGGGATTCTAGAACAAGGGTGTATAGTCTAGGAATTAGGGCCAGACCATTCAGGAGAGATAAAAAAGTTGCTGGAAAAGCTCAGCAGGTCTGACAGCATCTGTGAAGGAAAAAACAGAGTTAACGTTTTGGGTCCAGTGACCCTTCCTTGGAACAGGAGGGTCCGTTCTGAGGAAGGGTCACTGGACCCGAAACGTAACTCTGTTTTTTCCTTCACAGATGCTGCCAGACCTGCTGAGCTTTTCCAGCAACTTTGTTTTTATTCCTGATTTACAGCATCCGCAGTTCTTTCGGTTTTTCTTTCGTTCAGGAGAGATGTCAGGAAGCGCTTCTACCCACAAAGAGTGGTAGATGTTTACAATTCTCTTCCACAGATGGCATTCAATGCTGGATCAGTTGTTAATTTTAAATCTCAGATAGATAATTTTTTGTTAAGCCAAGGTATTAAAGGATATGGGCAAAAGCCACGTATATGGAGTTAGTCCACAGATTAGCCATGATCTCATTGAATGGACGGGCTGAATGGCCTACTCGTGTTCCTGTGAACTATGTCCGAGGATTTGGACTTGTTTCAGGAAGGAATGATGATGCATGTCTAAGTTGGGATTGTGTGTGATTTGGAATCTATGCTGCTCCCATGCAGTGGTTGCCTTGACTTTTTATGTGGTTAAGTTTGCAGGTTTTGGGGTGCAGCCTAAAAACCCAAACTGAATTGATGCAGTATATTGTGTAGATACTGCACCAATAGAGATGGGAGCACATAGGCTACCAACCATGCAGACTGCTTTGTCCTGAATAGTGTCACACTCCGATTGCTGATGGAGCCGCAGTTACTCAGGCAAGGAAGGAGTGTAGCTTCATATTTGTACATTGTGCACAGCAGAGGGGGTTTGAGGAATCAGGAGGTAAACCACTGACTGCAGAATACACTGCTTCTGATCTGTATGGCTAGCCACGATGTTTATGTGGCTAGTCCAGTAGAGTTTATGACCAATACTAAACTCCTAGATATTGATAATGGGACTCGAACAATTTTATAAACTATTATTGTTTTTGATATTATCTGCAGATCTCACTCCACTATCCCTAAACATACAACATATTCTCCAAAGTGAAGATGGGTGAAAAATATACAGTGGCAATCCTGCCATATCCACTGAGTAGCTAATTGTATCATTAGAAAGAAACTGAGCACAGTTTCACTGCACAATCCCACAGAACAAGTGAAATGAATGACCAGTTAAGTTGTTTTTGGCAGTACAAGGACTACCCATCAAATTCTGTTTTAAGGTCTTGCAATTCCACCTAAGCAGGCAGATAGTCACCTTATTTACAGCTTAAAAAGGTGTCTCCTCTGATAATTCAGCACATCCACATTACTTGGTGGAAGAGGGCTGGGCTTGCACTCGTATCTTCTAACTCGGGTGAGAGAGCCGCTGACTGGAACCTTTCTTTTATTTAAATAAAGTTAGAACATAGAACTGTACAGCACAGTACAGGCCCTTCGGCCCACGATGTTGTGCTGAACTTTTACCCTAATCCTAAGGTCTATCTAACCTCCACCCCTACCTTATACTATCATCCATATGCCTATCTAATAGCCGCTTAAATGCCCCTAATGAGGCTGACTCCATTACCCTCTCCGGCAATGCATTCCTACCGCTGTCTGAGTAAAGAACCTACCTCTGACGTCTCCCCTATATCTACCTCCACTCACTTTAAAACTATGCCCCCTCGTAATAGCTGCTTCCACCCTAGGAAAAAGTCTCTGGCTGTCTACTCTATCTATACCTCCTGATCATTTTGTACACCTCTATCAAGTCACCTCTCATCCTTCGTCATTCTAAAGAGAAAAGCCCTAGCTCTCTCAACCTTTCCTCGTAAGACCTTCCCTCCATTCCAGGCGACATCCTGGTAAATCTCCTCTGCACCTTTTCCAACGCTTTCATATCTTTCCTGTAATGAGGCGACCAGACCTGGACACAATACTCCAGATGTGGCCAAACCAGGCTTTTGTATAGCTGGAGCATAACTTCACGGCTCTTGAACTCAATCCCTCTATTAATGAAAACTAACACATCATACGCCTTCTTAACAACTCTATCCACCTGTGTGGCAGCTTTCAGGGAACTGTGGACATGAACCCCAAGATCCCTCTGCTCCTCCACACTGCCAAGAATCTTTCCGTTAACCCTATATTCTGCTTTCAAGTTTGTCCTTCCAAAATGAATCACCTCACACTTTTCAGGGTTAAACTCCATCTGCCACTTCTCAGCCCAGCTCTGCATCCTATCAATGTCCCTTTGTAAACTAGAACAGCCCTCCGCACTGTCCACAACACGACCCACCTTCGTATCGTCTGAGAACTTACTAATCCACCCTTCCATTCCTACATCCAAATCATTTACAAAAATCACAAATAGAAGAGGGCCCAGAACAGATCCTTGTGGCACACCACTTGTAACTAAGCACCATGTTGAATATTTTCCGTCCACTACCACCTTTTGTCTTCTAAGGGTCAGCCAATTCTGAATCCAATCTGCCACATTTCCCCCTACCCCATGTCTCCTTACCTTCTGCATGAGCCTACCATGGCGAACCTTATCAAACACCTTACTTAAATCCATGTATACCACATCCACTGCTCTACCTTCATCCACGTGTTTGGTCACCTCTTCAAAGAATTCAATAAGGTTTGTGAGGCAAGATCTACCCCTCACAAATCCATGCTGACTATCACGAATCAAACTGTGCCTATCCAAGTGATCATAAATCTTATCTCTCAGAGCCCTTTCCAATAATTTGCCCACCACTAATGTAAGACTAACTGGCCTGTAATTTCTAGGGTTATCCTTATTCCCTTTTTTGAACAAGGGAATGATGTTTGCCACTCTCCAATCTTCCTGTGCTATACCCGTGGACAGTGAGGACAGTTATTGTCATTATTGGAGAACTTCTACTATTACCTGCCTAAGCAATGTGTATTCTTAATGCTACCAAGGTCCTTGAATGTACCATTACCAAGAAATCACATGTTCACATTCTCCAGCTCCATAAGACCATAGGAGCAGAAGTAGGCCATTCAGCCCGAGTCTGGTCCGCTATTCAATGATACCATGGCTGATCTGATAACTCTCAACTCCACTTTCCTGCCTTTTCCCCATAATCCGATATTTATTATTGATTGAAAATCTGTCTGTCTCAGCATTGAATATAGATAATGACTCAGCTTCTACAGCTCCAAATTCATCAGATTCACTACCCTCTGAGAGAAGAAATTCCTCCTCATCTTAAAATGACACCCCCTTTTTCTGAGCGTATGCCCTCTGGTTTAGAAGCTGCTACAAAGGGAAGCAATCTTTCTGCACCTATCTTGTCAAGACCCCTAAGAATCTTCTACGTTTCAATATGGTCACTTCTCATTCTTCTAAACTGCAATGAATACAGGCCCAACCCACTCAACCTGTCTTTATATGACAGTCCCTTTATATCAAGTGAACTTTCTCTGGACTGCCTCCAATGCCACTGTATTTTTCCTTAGATAATGGCCCAATACTGTTCACAGTATTCTAATTGTGGTCTGACTGGTGCCTTGTATAATTTTTAACAAAATCTCCCTATTTTAATGCCACATCTTCTTTGAAATAAAGGCCACCTTTCTATTTGACTTTCTATTCACCCTCTGAACTTGAATGCTCGCTTTTTGTGGTTTACACAAGGAACCCAGATCCCCCTCTGCTGTAGCTTTCTGCAGTCTTTCTCCATTTAAATAACATTCAGCTCCTCTATGCTTCCTGTCAAACTGTGTATCCTCCCATTTTCCCAAGTGTTTACTCACTCATTTAACCTGTCTAAATCCCCCTGCAGATTCCTTGTGTCATCCTCACCACATGCCTTCCCACTTATTTTTGTGTTGTCTGCAAAGTTGGCTATAGTACATTCACTTTAGTCAACCATGCCATTAATACAAATGCTTCATAACCATGTTCAATCTGCTCGTAGTGCCCCAGTTCCTCTGGTTAAGGACGATCTGTTCAACTAACCATGGCTTGTTTTCCTCCTTGACTCTTCAACTGTCTTCAAAATGATTACCCACTCCATTCCTCTCGACTCAGACTTCAACTTTGTCTGTTTTTTAGAGCTGCTCACTCATTGTCCACTCCTCCTTGCCCCAATGCGATTAATGCATCTTCTCAGATCATATTTGTCTACATAATTTGCTGAAAATCTTTTGTAAACACAAGGGTAAAGTTATATACTATATCTTTTTGCCTTAAGATGAGACAAAGACGCAAGATGTGATGTCAATGAGCGGCATGAATGACAGGGTGGATTTCCAATCCCGTGAATCTACAGTATCTGGATTATTGACCAGTGCTGGCCATCTGAACAGCTTTGATAACTCCTATGGCTCGACCCAATCTCACAGCTCTATTCTCTATAGAGGTAGAACGTACCAGTCAGCATCTCAGGCCCTGGAAGCTTACATTGACAACTTTGAAAAGAAGTCACCGTCCACCCCGAGAGGTGCAAACAAACTGCGTTTGGGGAGCATTTCCAAACCCTCTCCCACTTCTCTGGACTGCAAGAAAGAGGGTAAGGACATTAGACTTACTTCCACCAATGTGGGACTAAATTGCTATGAGGCTGCAAACTTCCAAAGTTCAAAGTTTTGTTTTCGTTCTTGCGAAAAGACAACTCTCCAAAGACACTGACTGTTTTCAGGATGCCCTTCTGTGGGGAGGAGATGCCTTTCATTGTCCAGAACTTAGCTCATTTCTGTCAGCAAAAAATGGTCTATTTTGCCAGAAATGAAAGTTGAAAATGCTGAAAACGCTCAAGTCAGGCAGCATACGTGGAGTGAGAAACGAGATTTAGCCATGATATAAATGGTTGGCATGACATTCCTGTCAACAGATGCTGCCAAATCTGATTATTTTCAGCATTTTCTGTCTTTATTTCAGCTTTCCAGAATCTGCAATAATTTGCTTTTGGTTTAGGCTATTTTACCATGTGACCAATGCTGACAACTCCCATGCATTTGTGTGTACCATCCAATGTCGGTTATTACACAGCGATCAGATTTGCAAACCTAACTAATTTCTTCCGTGCCAATTCAAGAAGCTCAAAATAATTTTTCTTGTCAATCTCTTGCTCCCGTGGTTTTGTTCTGCTAATTCGAGGAAATGAAATAGCACTTAACTGGTCTGTATGGTTCAGTGGCTTATCACGTTCGAGCACTACCCTTCATTTAACACCCTTTCAAATGTAGTCTTACTTTTTTTATGACTAAAAATGGACACTGGAACTTTTGGGCTATCTCTTCATTTGCTGGTGCACACTCAAGGATCATTGATATGGGGATACTTTAGTTAAGTTTTAATTTTTGACCAGACCTGAGAAGAGAGAGGTAGTTTGTCTTTTTTACCCACCATTTCTTGAAATATCTGCTGCTGCTTCGTTTTAACTTTTTTTTTATATGTAGATGTAAGATAAAAAATGTTGCTTTTATGTAGTGCCTTTCACAACCTCAGGACATCCTAATGCACATGAGAAATAATTAAGTACCTGTGCAGTCATGTCGATTAAAGGGAAATGAAGAATATGTTTGTAAATGTATTCTTTCAGCTTGTTGATTTGTGGTACAATAGTGTATTTTGTCTTTATAAGATTGCAAGTGTAAGTTCTTGTTTCAGTCCACTCTGGGTTCTGTTTGCACCCTATTCTTCTTTCTTATTTGGAAAATAATGCTATGATTCTATGATCTTAAAAAGTGAAAAAAGATTCTTAAGATGGGAGGGTAACTGTTACTATTATTGCATGTAGTCAAGTTTTATGCTAAATATAAGATGAATTACTTTAGATAGTCTTCTCATTTTTAAACTCATCCCCATATTGTGTAATTCCAAAATTTAAGCATTCTTTAATTACTGTTTGTATTTTCAAACATTTACTCCATCACCTCTAAGTTAATGCACAGTCTTTTTATAGAATGTTCTACTTTCCCGTATCAAAGGTATTGATTTATGTCTAGAATTTAGGTTTACAATTTCATGAACAACCTTCAGTACTTTGACCAAGTGTTCATTCCAGGTGAAGTCTATGAGTTCTTGCAGCTATACAGCTATCTGGGTCAGATTCATCTAATGTCCACATGTACTTAGACTCACAAAGAGGCTATCAAATATTGAGAAGCAGAAACCTGGTCGAAATTTATTTTGTTGCCACATCCCACAGTGCTCACAGCCACAATCACCACCCCCATCCATGCAAAAGACATGAACATACCACCAATTCTACAATGGTCAGCTAACTCAGTACAGAATGGGATAGTGCTTAGGCCATTCTGTTCTGTACGACTTAGTTCCAGACTGAGCACTATATTTAGCCACTGAGGAACTGAAGGAATTAAGTGCAGTTGTTTATAAGTCTCTAATTTGTTTTGCAGTTTTCAGAGAGCGACATTCCTTCAGGGATTTGGATTTCCCTAGCCGGCCTTTAAGGAGACGGATAGCCAGTGACCTGGATCTTGTGAGCCTCACCACTGATGACCTTTTGGAAATGCCGTCGGATGGTTCCTTACCATTGACTCGATCCTCTGTGCTGCAGGGTTCAACACAGACTCAACAGCGAACAGGAAGCCACTTCAACCATAACTGTTCCTACACATTTACAAAATATGCTCCAAAGGTCTCCCCCTGTTATTCTGAGGCTTGGCATCACAAAAGAGATGACAGCTTTGAATTACTCTGTGGGAAAGACAGTTATTGCCCATTAAACCAAACTACTGGCCTTAAACGATCTCAATTCTCGCAGCTAGGAATGGTGCCACAAGACAAAAATAAATACATGATTTCTTCCATTCCTCCAACCCTTCCTGTGGATGACTACAGAATGGGAAAGCATTACCTCCCTTCCGTTTCTCAGCATAATTATCCCAGATGGTTAACCAGCCAAAAATCTGAGCTTGGTGTCTCTGGAATAAGTAGCATTCCTGAACTAAAATACCCTGGCTGGGTTTTAGACTGTGACTTGGGCTCAGACTCATGTGAACACGAAACACTGAATGAAAGAGAGTATCTGTTATCAACTGGCTATAAGACCAGATGCTCCGACTCCAGACTTCACTCTGGCTCTGCCATAAGCACACCAAAACATAAACATTTCGCCAGTTATTCAGGAAGGGACCAAACATTTCATAAACACACAGGACGTGACCTTTTAAGAAGAGCACCTACACAAGGTGTTTGGTTTGCCCACTGCACTTCACAAGAAGTAGAAGATTCTGACTGCAGTAAACCATTCAGAGGTACAGTAAGGTGCTGAATGGGAAGGAAGGTTGATAGAGGAACATGCATTTTCATTTCTGCAACAGAGATTGGTGTTTAGAAATAGGAAAACAACATCTCCTGTTTTGTCATTATGTTAGTTTGGACTGATGGGCTGAGGAATGGCAGATGGCGTTTAATTTAGATAAATGTGACGTGCTGCATTTTGGAAAGGCAAGTCAGGACAGGACTTATACTCTTAATGGTAGGGTCCTGGGGAGTGTTGCTGAACAAAGAGACCTTGGAGTGCAGGTTCTTAGTTCCTTGAAAGTGGAGTCCCACGTAGATAGGATAGTGAAGAAGATGTTTGGTATGCTTGTTTTATTGGTCAGTGGATTGAGTATAGGAGTTGGGAGGTCATGTTGTGGCTATACAGGACATTGATTAGGCCACTATTGGATTGCTGTGTAAACTTCTGGTCTCCCTGCTATAGGAATGATTTTGTGAAACCTGAAAGGGTTCGGAAAATGTTTACAACAATGTTGCCAGAGTTGGAGTGTTTGAGTTATGGGGACAGGCTGAATAGACGGGGGCTGTTTCCCTGGAGCATCGGAGACCGAGGGGTGACCTTTATAGAGTTTCATAAAATCATGAGGGGCATAGATAGGGTGAATTGTCAAGGTCTTTTCCCCAGGCTGGAGGAGTCCAAAATTAGAGGGCGTCAGTTTAAGGTGGGAGGGGAAAGATTTAAAAGGGACTTAAGTGGCATCTTTTTCACACAGAGGGTTGTGCATGTATGGAATGAGCTGCCAGAGGAAGTGGTGGAGGCGGGTACAATTACAACATTTAAAAGGCATCTGAATGGGTATATGAATAGGGGCGGTTGTGTTGGCCTAGTGGTTTTATCACTGGACTGTTAATCCAGAGACCCAGGTAATGTTCTGGGGACCGGAGTTCAAATCCTGCCACAGCAAATAGTGGAATTTGAATTTAATAAAAACCTGGAGCTAGGAGTCTCATGATGACCATGAAACTATTACCAACTGTTGGAAAAACCCACCTGTTCACTAATGTCCTTTAGGGAAGGAAACTGCCATCCGTACCTACATGTGACTCCAGACCCTCTGGGCAGTGAGAGGTGGGCAATAAGTGCTGACCTAGCTGGTGATGGCCTTGTCCTGTGAATGAATTTTAAAATAATAGGATGGGTTTAGAGGGCTATGGGCCAAATGCTGGCAAATGGGCCTAGAATAATTTAGGATATCTGGTCGGTATGGATGAGTTTGACTGACAGGTCTTTTTCCATGCTGTACATCTCTGTGACTCTGTAAGTTAGCCTTGATGGAATACAAAATTCCATCCACATTTACAAATGACTTTACATTTTGTGGTTTTGAAATATGGTATCAAAATTAAGAATATTTACAGCACAAAACTCTTCAGCCTAACCCCTCTTTCTAGCTCTTGGTCCAAAGCCTTGTGGATTACAGTATTCAATGTGCATGTCCAAGTTTTAACTTAGATGTGAAGAGAGTTTCTACATATATCATTTTTTCACAAAGTGAGTTCCAGACTCCCTGTTACTCTGGATGAAAGTAATTTCTCCTCAACTCCTCTCTAATATTTCCACCATTGCATTAAATCTGTGCCCCGGTTATTGTCTTCTGCAAAAGGAATGCTTCTTATTGATTCTTTCCAAGGCTCTCATAATTTTATACATGTTAATTAAATCTTTGTTCAGTTCCCTCTGTTCAAAAGAAATTTAAACCTATCCAATTGTTCTAATATCTAAAGTTCTGCGGTCCTGTCGACATCATTATCAATGTGCTTTTTGCACTACCCTCTGCAAATACGTTCTTTCTGTAATATAGGGTGGTGACCACAATGGTATACAGTATTTTAACTGTGGCCAACTAATGTTTAATAAAGTTTAAACATAAACAATGAAAACTCCCTTCGGAGATCTGTGGACATGCATTCCATGGTCTCTACAATTCTCAGTATTCTATCAGTTACTGTATATTTCCTTGCATTGTTGGACCCCTACTCCCACCTTTATGTATTACCTCTTAAATCTCTGGATTAAGTCCCAGTTGACACTTTTCATCCCACTATTTTACTGCAAACTGCAATTTTCACCCTCCCTGTAAGTATGCCAAGTTGTGCTTATTATATCTCTTAGTTTTAATGCTAATGATTCTGCAGATCATTTAACAAATTATCTCCCTCTTGGTGATTGGTACATCTGATTCCTTCCTCTTTTTCCCACTTTGGTTTTGTTCCCCAATCTTTCCAAAATGCATGATGATCCCAGTCTAATGCAGTTTACCAAAATATTATAACTTGACTTTCCACTTTGCAGATGTTGGCTGACCTATTTTCCAGAATTTTGTTTTTATATTCGATTTCTAGTATTAGTTGTTTGTGATCTTTATTTGTCTGTAAAACAAAATGCATGTGCTACATGCAGAAGAAACTAACGGTTTGCGTTGAGGACTGTGTTCATAGAACATAGAACAGTACAGCACAGTACAGGCCCTTCGGCCCACGATGTTGTGCCGAACTTTTACCCGAAACCTAAAGTCTATCTAACCTTCACCGCTACCTTATACTATCATCCGTATGCCTATCTAATAGCCGCTTAAATGCCCCTAATGAGGCCGACTCCACTACCCTCTCCGGCAATGCATTCCACGTGCCCCTACTACTCTCTGAGTAAAGAACCTACCTCTGACGTCTCCCCGATATCTACCTCCTTTCACTTTAAAACTATGTCCCCTCGTAAAAGCTACCTCCACCCTAGGAAAAAGTCTCTGGCTGTCTACTCTATCTATACCTCTGATCATTTTGTACACCTGAGCATGATTTGATTTGGAGTCATTTTATGTAAAAAGACAAAATTTAAAAACATCATGGAGCCATTAACGTGGGTTTTAATCACAGTTTTACTGCTTTTGTGAATGCAAGGATAATATACTTGCTTATGTTATAGGCATAGAGAATCTTGGCTTCAAGTTGCATTTACATATCATCTCTAATATAAGCTGCCTAACAAAGAAGAAAAAAAGTGGGCTAGTAACGTAGCTGTAAGATCTGCTTTGTACGATTGTAATTCTTGTTTGCTTAAGTTGGATATTGCTCTTTTACGGCAGCCAGTAGGGGCAGCAATTGCATTTTCCTGCTGTTCTATTGATTATTTGGAAGTAATTTAAAATCGAAACAAGCGCTGTAAATACTCAGCAGATCTGGTAGCATCTGTGAAGAGAGAAGCAGATGTAACACTTAATTCTTTGTATTTCAGTGTTGTGTTATTGGGAACACTTTGCTCTTGTACCACAGCGATTTGTCTGGCATCATTCGGACTGAGACACTTTTAGTGAGTTACAGTCTGTGTGTTTCTTTTATTCATTCGTGGGATATGGGCATTGCTAGCTTGACCAACATTTATTGGCCAGCCCTTGAGAAGGTGGTGTGGAGCTGCCTTCTTGTACTGCTGTAGTTTTCTTTCTAATTTATTGCCCATTGTTTATCAGTAACCTCTGGTGAATGCTGTAGTGATTGTAACAAGATCAGCCGGGTGGACCTCATAGAATATGAGTTCCCTGATTGGGGCTGTTAACCTCGTCCAATCTGAAGATGCTGGATCCGTGTCAAGGACACTCCACGTGTAAATAAAGGGTGACTTGGTGACGGGATACCAGCCTCCGTGGAACTATTTCAAATTCCTCTGACATTTTCCTATTATTAAAGCCTATGGCATTACTTTACCAGACCCGAAGCGTTAACCCTGATTATTTTTTTTTCTTCACAGATGCTGCCAGACCTGCTGAGGCTTTCCAGCAACTTCTGTTTTCATTCCCAATCGGTTACGAATTTAATCTTTTTCTTTTGCAACTCCTTGCCATTTCATAGTCCAGCCAATCAATACCCTGTTCTCATGCTGAATTAACGTTGTACCCTTCCTAAAGTTGGCTTTCTTGTCTTTCAATGCTGAAGAAGTGTAACACAAGTAAGCATCAATCCTTTAGAGGCTTTGAAGAAATCTTAGGAAGTGAAGAAGTGGCAGAGAAGTTAAATCAGTATATTGTATTTGTTTTCACAGTTGAAGCCATAAAAGGCTACCAAAATAGTTGAAAACCAAGGGCCTAATGAGAGTGAGGAACTGAATAATACTAATATCAAGCGGTAAAATCCACCAGGCAAACTATAAGCTGACAACTCACCTGGACTTGTTGGTCTATCTCCAATCATCCTGGAAAGGTTGTCTACAGAGCTGTTGGGTGCATGGAGATTCTGCTGCTGTCTGTATTTGAGAACATCCACGTCTGAGATTGTTACAGAGATAGTAGGAACTGCCGATGCTGGAGAATCTGAGATAACAAGCTGTAGAGCTGGATGAACACAGCAGGCCAAGCAGCATCAGAGGAGCAGGAAAGCCGACGTTTTGGGTCACAAGAATTTGGGGCTGATGTCAAAGATCAATCACAATCTTATTGAATGGTGGCGTTTCCTATTTCTTCACCTCTAATTGGAATGCTGCTGTAATATGGTTGGAGTGAGATAATACTGGAATGTAGTTGCTATAACACTTCACTGAAGAATGTTCTCCTCTCCTCCCTGTTCAGGCGAGCACATCGATTTACTAATCCAGAAGGCTGAACATGTCCATGAGGTTCTCTCGCAGCAGGTCAGCAACCCACAGCAGAACCAAGGCAGTCCTGGTACTGAAGATGTGTTGGAAGCTGAGCGATCCTGGGAAAATCCACCTGTTACCTTGTAAGTTACCAGTTTCCCTTTTAATAGTGATTAAATCGAAGTCTGACGTTTATCCATAGGGAGTTCGTAAAAACTTAGAAGCGTAGTTACTGCTATTGCCAACATTGGACTTTAAGATCAATTATTGTAGTAGAGATTTTTGAAGTCTCCTGCCTGAGAGAAACTGGCTGTTAGCACCCTGAAAATGATGGAGTTTGACTTATTTTCCTCTCCTGCTAATGGCATTATCAAAATCACCTTTCCAAAAACCTGTAGTGCAGTAAAATGAAGTGTTCAATGTGTGAAATTATCAGACTGTGTTCGGTAAAGCTGTGAAGAAGAAATCAGAATGGATTTTCCCTTCTGAACTTGATCTGTATGTAGAGAGAACATTTTAAACTGTGATCATGGAGCCAGTTTATGGTGATGAATTAAAGATTATCAGGAGGTAATAAAACACATTCTATATTCATACTTGCACAAAAAACAAACTGACACAATAATTTTTGGGAAAAGAGAGAAAATATAAGAAATAAGAGCAGGTGTGGGCCATTCAGCCCCTCAAAGCTACCCTGCAATTCAGTAAGATTTTGACTGATATGCCTTAGATTTCAACTCCTCTCTTGTACCACTCTTCCTAGCTTACAAAACCTGGCATTTCAAAAATCTATAAAATCTAAATATTAATAAATTCTCTAACTACTTTCATTGATCTAGCCTCCACAGCTCTCTAGGGTAGACAACTTCAGGCATTCATTACCCTCTTGGAGAAGCAATTTCTTCACATCTAAGTTTACAATGGGTACCTCCTCCTTATTATGTCACCAAGTTTAAAGTTTCCCCATGCTGTCTTCTCAGCTTCTACCCTGTTAAGCCCCATCAGTATCTAGTATGTTTCAGTAAGAACATCCTTCATTCTTCTAAACTCTAAGGAATAAAGGTTTAACCCGTTTAATCATTCTTCATAAGTCAACCCCTTCATCCCAAGAACCCGCCAAGTGAATCACTTTTGAACTGTCTTAAATACAGGGATCAAAACTGTGCACAGTACTCCAGATGTGACCTCACCAGCACTCTTAACTGTTTTGAAACTCCGCACCCCTAAATAGACTGCAATTCCATAAGCCATCTTAATTACTGGCTGCTGCTGTATGTTAATGTTTTGTATTTCATGCAGATAAACACTCAGATTCACCTATGGTGCACATCAGTGGAGTCTCTCTCAATCTAACTAATAGTTTGTCTTTTGATTCTTTCTACTTAAATGCAGGACTTCACACTTTGCTGCATTAGAGTCTATCTGCCAAGTTTTTGCCCACTCTCTGAACTTTTGCAGATTCTTTGTATGCTCATTTGCAACATACCTTCCTACTTATTTTTGTATCATCGACAGATTTGGGCACATTACATTCTGCCCACTCCTCCAAGTCATTCATTTGGATTACGAATGCTTGATGCTCTAGTACTGATCCTTGTGGTACTCTAGCCTAGTTACGTCTTTCCAACATGAAAAAGACCCATTAATCCTGTGTGTTAATCAATCCCCAATCCATGCTAATACGTTACTCCCAATAGTGTGAGCTTCGCTCTTGTTCATTAAGGTTTTTTTTTAATGTAGTATCTTATCTTATAGAGTGCTATCTGGAAATCCAAACACACTACACCCACCAGTTCCTTTTTATCATATAGGCTTGCATTGTGTTTTATCTGTATTTTTCGACAGAGAGACTTGACTTTAATTTTGAGACTTAGTTTTGTTTTGATTTGTAAAATTGCACAGAATCACCAGCACAGAGAGAAACCATTTAACTTTAACTGGTCTCTGCTGGTGTTATGCTCCATACGAGCTTCCTCCCACTCCTTTTTATCCATCCTTATTAGCATATCCTCATATTCTTTTCTCTTCGGTGTGAGGTCACTATAGTCTTATTAGAACTTACAGCAGCTCCCCCATTAGGGAGAGATGACTGTTGGTGGTTTAACCTGAGGGTCACCATGCCTCAGGCAAAGGGAGAGGTTGGAAAGGAGTGTCCTTCATGGTAACCTCAGTCAGTGTGGGAATTGAATCCATGCTGTTGGCATCACTCTGCATTATAAACCAGCCATCCAGCCAGTTGAGCTAACCGATCCAGATTGAATGCCGTAGTAGAGTTATTACTGACTCCTTTCTGTGGATTGTCACCTTGTCAGGTTTAGAGAGTCTGGAGTGACAACACTAACAGAAGACACCAGCCATTCTACGTGGCCTTCATTGATCTGACCAAGGGTTTTGACCCAGTCAATGAAGTGCTATGGTAGACTGTGTCATAGGCTGGCTGACCAGTGAAATTCATCAACATTGATACCACTGCAGGAGATTGAAGAGAAGGTGAAGGGTAGCTGAGGGAAGGAAGGGGTGGTTATATCTTGGTCTGGAGAAATTAAAAAAAGCCCCTCAGATGCTTTCTAGAGAAAAGAGTCTAGTGTTGTTTAGCCTTTCTTGGTAAATATATCCTGCAAATTCCAGTGTGACCCTCATAATTTTTTCTTTGCATCTTCTCCAGTACTTCTGTTTCTTTTTGATTTATATGATGTGGCCCACTTTATTCCAAATGCAGTTTGATCAAGATTCTGAGCTAGGGCTTTTCTCTTTAGAACGACGAAGGATGAGAGGTGACTTGATAGAGGTCTACAAAATGTTCAGAGGTGTAGATAGAGTGGACAGCCAGAGACTTTTTCCTCGTGTGGAGGTGGCTATTACAAGGGGGCATAGTTTTAAAGTGAGTGGAGGTAGATATAGGGGAGACCTCAGAGGTAGGTTCTTTACTCAGAGAGTGGTAGGGGCGTGGAATGCATTGCCGGAGAGCGTAGTGGAGTCGGCCTCATTAGGGGCATTTAAGCAGCTATTAGATAGGCATATGGATGATAGTGTAAGGTGGGGGTGGAGGTTAGATAGACCTTGGGATTAGGGTAAAAGTTTGGCGCAACATCGTGAGCCGAAAGGCCTGTACTGTGCTGTATTGTTCTATGTTCTATGTACTAGATTATATTATACTAAAACAATATTTTTTTTCAATTGGCTTCCTTTAGCAAAAAGGCTGATTTTACTTTTCTTTTTGTTTTCTAAACCTGTGTCACTATTTGCTGAATCTGTATCCCCAGATACTTTTCCCTTCCACCCTAATTAGATTCTTATTGTCCAAGAAAAAAATGTGGCTGCCTTGTTGTGTCAAGTAGAACATGATAAATTGTATTGTTCAGCGGTGAATTAAATTTCCCAAGTAGACAAGAGTGAATATGTTCTCCTTATGGAGTAACCGCCCTGATTAATTACTGCATTCACTGTTTCATGGGTGAAATTACAATTGCTGTTATATTATTTCAGTAGCTGTAGAAGGTCTATTACATTGACAGTTATTATGGACAAATATTCAGCATGGTACTGAAGTTTGTTTTGATTTCTCCTTATTGTGGCTGTACAAAGTTAGTGTTTGTCATTCATATAAACAATTTGGATGAGATTTAGGCGACGTGGTTAGTAAGTTTGTGGATGATACTAAAATTGGTGGTATAGTCACCAGTGAAGAAGGTTATCTAAGATTACAAAGGGATCTTGACCAGTTGGGTCAATGGACTGAGGAGTGGCAGTTGGAGTTTAATTTGGGTAAAAAATGAGATATTGCAATTTAGTAAAACAAACAAAGGCAGGATTTACATGTTTAATAGTAGGGCTGTGGATAATGTTGTCAAATAGAGAGACCTAGGGGTTCAGGTACATAGTTCTTTGAAAGTTGCATCGCGATTAGACAGGGTAGTTAAGAAGACTGTTCAGCATGCTTGCCTTCATTGCTCAGACCATTGAGTTTAGGAGTTGGGATGTCACATTGAGGTTGTACAGGACGTTGGTGAGGCCACTTTTGGAATATAGTATACAGTTCTGGTTGATCTGCTATAGTAAGGATATTATTAAATCGGAGAGGGTTCAGAAAGGATTGACCAGGATATTGCCGAGACTGGAGGGTTTGAGTTATAAGGAGAGGCTGGATAAGCTGGGACTTTTTTTTACTAGGGTGCAGGAGGTTGAGGGGTGACCTTAGAGAGGTTTAAAAAATCATGAGGAGTATAGATTAGGTGAATAGCAAAGGTCTTTTCTCTAGCGTGGGGGAGTTCAAAACTAGGGGAGATATTTTTAAGGTGAGAGGAGAAAGATTTAAAAGGGACCCGAGGGGCAACTATTTCATACACAGGGTGGTTCGTATGTGAAATGAACTGCCAGAGGAAGTGGTAGAGGCAGGTACAATTACAACATTTAAGAGACATTTGGACAGGTACATGGATAGAAAAAGTTTAGAGGGATATGGGCCAAATGCAGGCAAATGGGACTAGTTTAATTTGGGAAACATGGCATTGATGACTTGAACAGAAGAATCTGTTTCTGTACTGTATGACTATAAATATATATTCAAAATGTATTCTATTTTTTGAAGGTTTCCTATGTTTGTATATGTGTTAAATATGAATGAATTTGAAACTGTTGTGCAGTCCAGCAGAGCCATCTGCTGATGAGAAAAGGTTTTGTTGATTCTGATTTGGAAACCATAAATATGAAGTAGTAATGAAAACTGCAATACTGAGTTTTGAATTTGAAGTTGTAATTTTGTATAATGGCCTCCTACTATGTTTGAATTAATCTACATACATAGTAATGATCTGAAGAGGATTTTATTTATAATAAAGACACTTTATAGAATTCACAAACTTTTAATGCCACTTATGACTTGCTGGCTGCATGCACCATCACATATCACCTTGAACCATACATTCTTCCTTTTTGAATGTCATTGATCTCAGCTAGGGTGAAGTTAGGGCTATTCCAGCAGAGATTGGGCAAAGGGGAGGCAATGCCTAGTGGCTAGACTATTAATGCAGAAACTCAGCTGATGTTTTGGGGACCCGGGTTCGAATTCCACCGCAGCAGATGTTGAAATTTGAATTCAGTACAAAATATTGGAATTAAGAATCTAACGATGGCCATGATACCATTGTTGATTGTCAGAAAAACCCGTCTGGCTTACTGAAGGATATCTGCAATCTTTGTCTGGCCTGGCCTACCCTACATGTGACTGCAGTGCCACAGCAGTATGGTTGACTATTAACTGCCCTTTGAAATGGCCCAGCAAGCCACTCAATTGTATCAATCGCTATGAAGTCCCAACAAAGAAATGAAACTGGACAGATAGCCTGGCATTGACCTAGGCACAAAAATACAACAAAGACAAAAACAAAACAGCCGTGTCAAACCAGCAAAGTGCCGCTTACTGACATCTGGGGGCTAGTGCCAAAACTGGGAGAGCTGCCTCACAGACTAGGCAAGCAACAGCCTGACATAGTCATAGTCACAGAATCATACCTTACAGACAATGTCCCACTATCACCATCCCTGGGTATGTCCTGTCCCACCAGCAGGACAGACCCAGCAGATGTGGTAACATATGCTGGCTGGCTTAACAGAGGTGTCCTTTTAAATAAAACAAAGAACTGTAGATGCTGAAAATTTCTGAAACAAAAAAAACAGCGCTGGAAAAGTTCAGCAGGTCTGGCAGCATTTGTAGAGAGAGAAACAGAGTTGAACTTTAAAGTTCAGTGACCCTTCTTCACAACTGCTGACTTTCTCCAGCCTTTCTGTTTTTGTTTCAGTTTTTCCTGTTACCTGCTTTCCAAGCTGGAAAGTTTAGTTAACTTTGCTTCCAGTTTCTTCACTTCTCATTGTCCATCTCCAACTCGTTCCTTTCTTCCCCTTGATTTGACCATAAGTTGTAGGTGCAAACATAGGCCATTTGTTCCATTGCTCAACCATTCAATGAGGTCATGGCTGATCGATTAATCCTCACCTCCACTTTCTTGCCTTATCCCCCAAAACCCTTAAATCTCTTACTGATTAAGAACTTGTCTATTTCAGCCATGAATATACCTAATGACCCAGCCTCAAAAGCCCTCTGCAGGAAAGAATTCCACAACACTGTATTGGAAGAAGTTTGTTCTTGTGCAACTTTGAGATTATGCCGTCTGATTCTTGACTCTCCCAAACAGGAATCAATGTCTCCATTATCTACCCTACCAAGCCCTTTTATGTTTCAATAAAGTTGCCTCTCATTCTTCTAAACTCCAACAAGTACAGGCCTTAAGAGTTGGATAATTAGCTGAAAATGAGCAATTTGCAGGGTGTCAAAAAAAGTCTGGTCCTGCATATGGCAAACTGCTCTTGGAGACAGCCAGCACAGGAATAAGGGACTGAATAGTTTCCTTGGATGATTTTCTAGCTTTATTTTCAGGGATAGGCTATCAACCATATTTATTTTGAGCTTACTGAATCTCTTTTGTTACTTTTACTACATGTCCTCTTACTGCTCCAACTGTAAGAACTGTATTTCATTCTTCCAGATACTTTATCTGTGTGTTGTCTGTTTGTATCATGCAATTTCCTATGTTAACATTTCCAACATATCTGTCCTTTTTCCCTGATAGTGGTTGTCAGGACTTTTGTGTCTGTCCTATTTCACACACAACCTGAAAGCAGTGAGGTTTGGCTGAATTCATGCCAGAAATCTGCGTCCAGAGCCACACTAACAGGGGGACGGCTGTCACTCGTGAACATGTCCATTAGTAAAGTTTCAGCGCTTTTGAAGCTGCATATCTGGGATCTTGTCTTCAGCTGTTACATGAATCAACTGCAGAATGTAACCCTTTTTCTGTTGTTGATCTAGTAAATCACCAGTGCCTGTGGGCAACAGTGGAGAAGATTTCTTCGAAGCTTCCAACCCTGCTCTGACTGAAGATGTGTCTGAGAATCCTTTAAATTCCGGCCATCAGGTTAGTGTCAGACTGTTTCCTGTTTGTGTATGTGGTTATATAGTGCACATCAAAGGGAGGGATGTCAACTTGGGGGAATACTTTCTTGTTTGGGCGCGGTCGCACAATTCCAGTTCATGGTTAAATTCAGAGTAATGCCTCTTCAGCTCCAAAAGTGCTTTTGAGCACAACATCAGATGATTACTCCTAGTCTTTGACTGAACTGCAAATGCCACTCATCTACCCACCTTGCTGGTGTATTTTCCACTTATTTTCACAATCCTTATTGTAGTGTAGTAGATTCCCAGCAGATTTTAGTGTTGCTTCCTGAATTTCTAAACGAGCTGTCTGGTTACATGTTGGTTGAAGTAAGAATATTGAGATTTGAAACATTTTCCCAACACTATAATTACACCAGTTAGTCCAGTTCATCTTTCTGTTTCCTTCATCTCCTGGATCCATGAATGGAATCGCCAATTTGATAAGCTAGGATTGACATTGTGCCTAGGGGCTCACTCCCACTGACACCTGGGAAGATTGTGGAAAGAGAGCAATTGGAGATATGTTTGAAAAGGGTGGTGGAAAGAAAAGTAGAACCAGTGCCATATCCTAGCAGACAGTGGGAAGAAATGGGTCAATTTTGACTTAAGTTCAGGAAGGTCACAGAGCAGCAGCATAACCCAGTTAAATAGGTGGTGTTTAGTTTTAAATAAAAGAGAAAATACTGGAGAAACTCAGTAAGTGTGGCAGCATCTGTGGAGAGCAAAACAGAGTTAATGTTTCGAGTCCAGTATGACCCTTTCGGAACCAATTTTAATTTTGGCTCGGGCCTGTTTTGGGAGAGTGGAGTTTGACGTGGGTTCTTCACTATTGTTCTGAAAGATACTCCTGAAAGAGTCTATGGTTTTGGCAGGAATGCAAAGCCCTGTAGAACTTAGTGTGTTTATGACAGAATTCTGTTAGTTAGTGTCTAAGGTGGGTGATGGGTTGGGAAGGTTAGGGTAGTGCAGATGGCTTGCCTCATTCATTTAGCACATTTCTGTTTTGATACAATCCTGCTGATATAACTAATATCTGTACGTTTCACCAGCATCCTGATGATGTGAAAGTTGTTGTGTGATTTTAAGTTTTTTCTTTTCAGGACAACTGCAACATGAAGGTTGGGGGGGTAGTTGGGACTTGGTTTCCCATTTCAACGTTGCCCCTCTGAGCATATAGTTTTCTAGTATCGTACTGAAGTATTGGAATGCTGTTTAAATTCCCAGCCACCTTTGACTGAACTGCAAATGCCACTCATCTGCCCACCTTGCTGGTGTATCTTCCACTAATTTTCACAATCCTTATTGCAATGTGGTAAATTCCCAGTAGGCTTTAATGTTGCTTCCTGAATTTCTAAGTAAACAGTGTCACTTTAGCTGTTCTAGTTACTTGCTGGGTCGAGTGAGATTTGAAATATTATTCAAACACTTTAATTACACTAGTTAGTTTAGATTAGTACAATTCTGGACTGTCTTGATTGTGAGATTGTGAGATGAGGTATCAGTAATTAGAAAAGTGACTTAATGAGGGATTAGAAGAAATGTCTATGCTGGGAATAGTTAACATGGAATTCTCTGCCAAATATAATGATTTAACATCAGTCCCAAAGTACTTGTGTAAGGAAATTAGACAGTTGCTGAGAGGTAAAGGAAGATGGTCAGGTCTGGAAAGCAAGCAGGCAAATGAGGATGAAGAAGCTTTGTAACTGGAGGCCAGATGATAGACCTAATGGTCTGATTTTCTGTGACAATCAGGAAACAAATTAGATTTAAAACATGTAGTGGTAACTCTCCCGGTGCAAATATATGTTATTTAATTGAACCTCAAGAACCCAGAAAGCAGGGTACCATATCAATTTTGTATAAAAAAAATGAATATGTAAGTCTTTGAAACACATGATATAAAAGGAAAACCCCAAATATTGCAAATATGAACTAAAAACTGGCAATACACTGGAGGTCAGGCAACTTCTGCAAGAGAAAGATAGGTTCACTTTTTTAAAGTGGCTTTCTGTTACAGATGCAGGCCAGTGTTTGAAACACAAAGCAGTAAACCTTTCTTTCAAGTTTTCTCCTTTAATGTTTTGCTCTTTTAAATATTTAGCGGAACCATTCTGGTTCATCGGGAGTTTCAAGAGGAAAGCACCATGGTCCAGTTGAAGCACTGAAACAGATGCTGTTCAGCTTACAAACAGTGCAGCAGAGTTTTGATGATGATGACGCAGAAGAAAACAAAGAAATTAGAAAGGTAAAGATCTTCAGCCGTGTCTAATCTAAATATCATATTTGGAATAGTGTATTCTAGTACAGACATGATCTTATTTATCCTTCTCAATTTTTTTCTGTTTAAGGATCTCTTTTCAATGGATTAGCAGTCACCACTCTCTGATATAAACTATGGACTGGATCTCATGTATTTGTGACCAAGTTTCAGTTGTGTTGAAAATTTTGGACTTTTTTTTTCACCACATTTTTTCACAATAACCTATCAAACTTGCCAATGTTGAGCTTCTTCAGTGTTGTTGGAGCTGGAGCTCATCCAGACAAATGGGAGGCATTTCATCCCACTCCTGACTTATGCCTTGTATATGGTGATCAGGCTTTAGGGAGTCAGGAGATGAGTTACCAGTAGCAGATTTCCTAACCTCTGACCTGTTCTTGTCACCACTGTATTTGTGGGCTGGGTTCAATTCAGTTTCTGTTTAATGGTGACCCGTAGGATATTAGTAGTGGGGATTCAGTGACGTCATTTTATTGAATGTCAATGAGTGATGGTTAGATTCTCTCTGGTTGTAACTGGACATTGCCTGACACTTGAGTGATGTGGATATTACTTGCCATTTGTCAGCCCAAGCCTGGTCATTGTTCAGGTCTTACCACATTTAGGCATTGACTGTTTCAGTATTTGATGAGTTGTGAATGGTGTGGAACACGATCAGTGACAATTTGCTTCATTTTGCTGGTGGCACAGAGTAGACTGATGAAGCAGGAATTGGCCAGCTTGAATTTATTCTGCTCTTTGTAGATTGGGCATACCTGGGCAATTTTCAAGCATGATACCTATACTGGCACAGCTTGGGTCATAGTGCAGCTACGTCTGGAGCACATCTTCTAAAGAAGGGCTACTGGACCCAAAATACTAACTCTGCTTTCTCTTCACAGATGCCGCCAGACTTGTTGAGTTTCTCCAGCAATTTCCATTTTGTCTTCTGTATTATTGCTGGAATGTTAACAAAGACCATTGCAACAAAGAATAGTTTATGATTGTTAAACAAAATTTAGACTTGATTTCATTAAGCAACTAATGTGATAGCCGTATGTTGGAGCTGAGTCGTTAGTTATTTTGTCCTGGAGTGACCCAGCTTCACTGCTCCTAATTCCATTCACTACCTGGCTCATTGCTGCCTTTGATCTTAACGACTTCTAAATTATACAGTCTCCAACCCTTTCTGATGAAGGGTCTATGCCCGAAATGTCAGCCTTTCTGCTCCTATGATGCTGCTTAGCCTGCTGTGTTCATCCAGCTCTGCACCTTGTAGTCTCCAACCCTAATGTGTTCTTTTGCTTGGCTCAAATCACTGCAATGCAGGATTTCATTTCCTCCTGTTGTTTCAAAGTTTTAAAACCCTATCTGGGTGTCACATTGATGCAGCTTCCTGATTTATTGTAAGTCAGGAAAGAGGGCCTAGAAGCGAGAGGGAGGGTCAGGGGGTGGGGACAGGTCCCCTTCTCCCTGCCTTACCATCAGCTCCCTTCCTTCCGGTTCTCTCCCGGGTCCCGATCTCCTCCTCCCCCACCCTGTGATTTGAAGCATGGTGTCAGCAAATTCAGCCTCATTGCAGCATCTACTCTTCCAGTGTAAGTCTGTTGCATGCTTAGTTTCAAGAATTCAACACAAGTTTCATCTTAGAAGCATGTTGGCATTTCTCCCTCTGCCTCTAACGTTGGGGCACTAACAAGCAGCAAGTTCGTAGAGCTTCCTGATTTAGTAAACGTTGGTCCTGAATGTTACGAACAGATGAGGTGAATAGACAAAACTGTGCCAGACGGAGTTCAACGTAAGCATGTGTAAGGATATTCATTTTGGACCAAAAAAGGATAGATCCAGCTACTTTCTGGATGGTATGAAGTTAAATACAGTAGGTATCTAAAGGGACATTGGGGTCAGATCTGTAAATTGTTAAGAACAGGTGCAGAAAATAATCAAAAAGCTAATGGAATGCTGGCCTCTGTAGAGGACCGGAGTATAAGAAATGATGCAGAAGTTACGCTGCACCAATACAAAACCCTGGTTCGATCCCACTTGGAGTACTGTGAGCAGATCTGGGCACCACACATGAGGAAGGATGTATTAGCCTTGGAGGAAGTGCAACATAGGTTTACGTTAAAGAGAATGATAGCTAACTTTCAGGGGTTAAGTAATGAGAAGAGATTATACCAGTTAGGCCCATTTTGTCTAGAATTTAGAAGATTAAGGGGTGATCTGATCAAAGTCTTCAAGATATTAACAGGAAAAGAGGGTAATAAAGATAAACTATTTCCACTGGTTGTGGATTCTAGAATTGGGACGTGGTCTGAGAATTAGGGCCAGACTGTTGAGGAGAGATATTAGGAAGGACTTTTACACACAAAGGATGTAGATGTTTGGAACTTTCTTCCACAAACCACAGTTCAGGTTAGATCAGTTGTTAATTTTAAATCTGAGGTAATATGTTTTTGTTAAGCAAAGGAATTAAGGGAGATGGGCCAAAGGCAGATACATGGAGTTAGGACACAGATCAGCGATGATTTCGTTGAATAATAGGATAGGCTGAAGGGGCTGAATGGACTGCTCCTGTTCCTATATACTATTCCTATATATATTAATCATCAATATGCTTGTTGCTAGTTTAGTAACTTATTCAAAATGCAAAATGTTATATTTGTGTTTGCAATACATAAATGGCAAACAACACTTTGCAAAAACAGGGAAGGAGTTGGAAATGTCAGGAGACAAACAGGAAATCCAATCAGATCTCAGTGGATCTTCACCATTTCAGGTTTAAACTGTGATCTGGCAAGTTACAGCTATTTGAACAGGATGGGATGTGCATAAGGAAGTTAAGATTTGGCAGGGAAACTGGCAGACAAATATCATCTCTGTCAGGATGAGTAATTGTCAGGCGATGTTTCACATGTATTTGTGCTGGAGACTCCAGAGGAGGTGAAAGAGTGAGGGCTTCATGTCCTTCACCACGCTGCCAAACCTTACCAGGGCGTTGAACTGTTTCCTGACCTGGACCCATATCCTTGGTGACCCATTCTGTCAACTCAACTCCTCTGCAAGCTCCGCCTGAGCCTGTTTACTGAGGCTGATTGACCACCTCCCACCATTTCCTGGGAGGTTCTTAAATCCCATCCAGGAGTGTCATTGAGGATCTTAGGTACAAGGGCAAGGGCTTCAAAGAGAGTTAAGTGACTGAGCTTCTTACTGGCACTTCGTCTACTTCCAAACACCAATCAGTCTCTTAAAGCATTTTTAGTATGTAGTACCTGTAATTGTTGTTACATTTGCAATGTTATATTTTTGTTAAATAAATATCTTCTGAATAGATACCTGAAAATATGATGTCTCAGACCCTGGGCTTGGATTTTGAGGAGGCACCTGGCAGCAGATCATTACAGAGGTAATTTGGTAGGAAATATGCTCTAATCTACGGATTTAATGTTGGTTCCAGCAAGGCCATTATCAGTGGGACCAGAGGTATGCTGTTGGCTAACTCATTGAGTGGTACATTGTGATCTTGTATCTGCCATTGGCGACGGATTAATTACTGCACATAACCATTCACTCATCATTCTTTCGCTTACGGATCTACATTGACTGTAGGTCAAGAATTTACTCAATTTTTAAAAATTGTCATCCTTGTTTTCACTCCTCTCCATGCCCTTGCCTTCTCTGTTTTGCCACCCCCCAACATTAAGACTCTCCATGATGACTTATGTTTGGCATCTGTAATTTTAATCACACTAGCATTCCAGATCATGCCTGATGCCCAATCTCCTGGAATTCTCTTCCTAGCTTATCAGCCACTTTATCCGTCTTTTTCTGACTATCCTCCAATGCAAAGCCAAGGTCCTGATGCTTTCCCGACTCAAAGCATCTTCTGTTTGCTTCTTGCTTCGATGTATGAAGAGATAGAAATATCTCTAGTACCTGGTTTCAATGAAAAGTGTAGGAGGGAATGTTAGGTGCAGCACAAGGCATACCTGGATAAGGTATCAAGTAGGTGAACTTAGAATCTAGGATGACTGGTGTGCCAGACAGTGTAATCAGCAAGTAATTGGCATGGCTAAAAGATCGCATAAGCAACAGATCAGATCTAAACTCGGCAGTGCTGCAGAAGTGCCAGGATGATCCATCTTGGTCTCCTCCAGAAGTCTCCAGTATCACAAATGCTAGTCTACAGTCAATTCAATTCATGCCATGTGATATCAGGAAATGACTGAAGCCTCTGAATGTTGAAAAAGCTACGGGCCCTGACAATATTCCTTCAGTAGCACTGAAGACGTGTGCTCCAGAACTTCTCCCCCAGATAAGCTGTTCCAATAAAGCTACAACACAAGCATCTACCCGACAGAGTGAGAAATTGCTTAGGTATGTCCAAGAACAAATCTAACTCAGCTAATTACTGCCCCATCCGTCTATTCTCGATCATCAGTAAAGTGCAGTAAAGTGATGGAAGGTGTCATCAATAATGCTATCAAGCAGCATCTGCTCAGCAATAACCTGCTCAGTGACGCCCAGTTTGGGTTCCACCAGGACCACTCAGCTCCTGACCTCTTTACAGCTTTGGCTCAAACATGGACAAAAGAGCTGAATACCAGAGGTGAGGTGTGAGTGACAGCCCTTGACATCAAGGCTACAGTTGACTGGGTTTGGCATTGAGGAGCCCCAGTCAGTAGGAATCGGGGGAGAGCTCCACTGGTTAGAGTAATACCTGGCAGAAAAGAAGATGGTTGTGGGTGTTGGTGGTCAGTCACCTCAGCTTCAGGGCATCTCTGCAGAAGTTCCTCAGGGTAAAGTCTGGAATTAAGAATCAACTGATCACTACGAAATCATTGCCGATTGTTGGAAAAACCCATCTGGTTCACTAATGTCCTTCAGGGAAGGAAATCTGCTATCCTCACTTGGTCTGGCCTACATGTGACTCCAGACCCACAACAATGTGGTTGACTCTCAATTGCCCTCTGAAATGGCCTAGCAAGCCATTCAGTTGTACCAATCACTACAAAGTCTCAAAGAAATGGAACTGCACGGATCACCTGGCATCGACCTAGGCACCGGAAAAAACAATGGCCCTGTCGACCCTGCAAAGTCCTCCTCAATAATATCTGGGGGTTAGTGCCAAAATTGGGAGGGCTGTCTCACAGACTCGTCAAGCAACAGCCTGATATAGTCATATGCACAAATTCATACCTCACAAACAATGTCCCAGACATCACCATCACTGTCCCTGGATATGTCCTGTCTCACCGACAGGACAGACCCAGCAGAGCTGACAGCCCAGTGGTATATAGTCAGGAGGGAGTTGCTCTGGGAGTCCTCAACATTGATTCTGGATCCCATGAAGTGTATTGGCTTCAGGTTAAAATGGGCAAGGAAACCTCCTGCAATTACCACATACTGCCCTCCCTCAGCTGATGAATCAGTATTCCTCAATGTTGAACAACACTTAGAGGAAGCACTGCGGATGGCAAAGGCACAAAATGTAGTGTGGGTGGGGGATTTCAACATCCACCACCAAGAGTGGCTCAGCAGCAGCACTACTGATCGAGCTGGTTAGGTCCTACAGGACATAGCTGCTGGTCTGCGGCAGTGGTGAGGGAACCAACGAGGGAAAGCATACCTGTCCTCATCCTTACTAATCTGCCAGCTGCAGTTGCATCTGTCCGTGACAGTGTCGGTAAGAGTGACCATCGCACAGTCCTTGTGGAGATGGCGTCCCGCCTTCACATTGAGAACAGCCTCCATCGTGTTGTGTGGCACTATCACCGAGCTAAATGGGACAGACTTCGCACAGAGCGAGCAACTCAAGACTGGGCATCCATGAAGCGCTGTGGGCCATCAACAGCAGCAGACTTAGATTGCAGCACAATCTGTAACCTCATGGCCTGGCGTATCCCCCACTCAACCATTACCATCAAGCCATGGTATCAACCTCAATTCATTGGAGAGGGCATGCCAGGATCAGCACCAGGCATACCTTAAGATGAGGTGTCAACCTGGTCAAGCCACCAAACAGGACTACTTGCACAATAAACAGCATAAGCAAGTGATAGATAGAGCTAAGCAATCCCACAACCAATGGATCAGATCTAAGCTCTGCAGTCCTGCCACATCCAGACACTAATGGTGGTGGACAATTAAACAACTCCCTGGAGGAGGAGGCTGCACAAATATTCCCATCCTCAATGATGGAAGAGGCCAGCACATCAGTGCAAAAGATAAAGCTGAAGCATTTGCAGAAATCTTCAGCCAGAAGTGTTGAGTGGATGATCCATCTCGGCCTCCTCCAGTGGTGCCCAGCATTACAGATACCAATTCGATTCACTCCATTATGATATCAAGAAATGGTTGGAGACACTGGATACTGCAAAGGCTACGGGCCCTGACAACATTCCAGCAATAGTACTGAAGACTTGTGCTCCAGAACTTGCCACTCCCCTCGTCAAGCTGTTCCAGTACATTTACAACACTGGTATCTACCTGACAATGTGGAAAATTGCCCAAGTATGTCCTGTACACAAAAAGCAGGACAAATCCAACCCGGCCAATTACCACCCCATCCGTCTATTCTCAATCATTAGTAAAGTGACGGAAGGTGTCATCAACAGTGCTATCAAGCAGCACCTGCTCAGTGATGCCCAGTTTGGGTTCTGCCAGGGCCACTCAGTTCCTGACCTCATTACAGCCTTGGTTCAAACATGGGCAAAAGAACTGAATACCAGAGGTGAGGTGATAGTGATAGCCCTTGACATCAAGTCTACTTTTGACCAAGTGTGGCATCAAGGAGCTGTAGCAAAACTGGAATCAATGGGTATCAGGGGGCAAACTCTCCAGTGGTTGGAGTCAAAGCTGACACATTGGAAGATGGTCGTGATTGTTGGAGGTCAATCATCTCAGCTCCAGGACATCTCTGCAGGAGTTCCTCAGGGTAGTGTCCTAGGCCCAACCATCTTCAGCTGCTTCATCAATGACCTTCCCTCCATCATAATGTCAGAAGTGGGGATGTTCGCCGATGATTGCACGATGTTCAGCACCATTCGTGACTCCTCAGACACTGAAGCAGTCCGTGTCCAAATGCAACAAGGTCTGGACGATATCCAGGCTTAGGCTGACAAGTGACATTCGTGCCACACAAATGCCAGGCTATGACCATCACAAATAAGAGACAATCTAACCAACGCCCCTGAACATTCAATGGTGTTACCATCACTGAATCCCTACTATCAACACCCTGAGGGTTATCATTGACCAGAAGCTCAACTGGACTCACCACATAAACACTGTTGCCACAAGAGCTGGCCAGAAGCTGGGAATACTGTGGCGAGTAACTCGTGTCCTGACTCCTCAAAGCCTGTCTACCACTTCCAAGGCACAAGTCAGGAGTGTGATGGAATACTCCCCACTTGCCTGGATGGGTGCAGCTCCAACAACACTCGAAGCTTGACGCCATCCAGGACAAAGCAGCCCACTCGATTGGCACCACATCCACAAGCATCCACTCCCTCCACCACCGACATTCAGTAGCAGCAGTGTGTACTATCTACAAGATGCACTGCAGAAATTCACCAAAGATCCTCAGACATCACCTTCCAAACCCATGACCACTCCGATCTAGAAGGACAAGGGCAGCAGACATAGGGGAAGACCACCACCTCGAAGTTCCCCTCCAAGTCACTCTCCGTCCTGACTTGGAAATATATCGCCGTTCCTTCACTGTCGCTGGGTCAGAATCTTGCCATTCCCTCCCTCATACCATTGTGGGTCAATCTACAGCCGGTGGACTGCAGCGATTCGAGAAGGCAGTTCACCACCATCTTCTCAAGGGCAACTATGGATGGGCAAGAAATGCTGGCCAGCCACCGACACCCATATCCCACAAATGAATGGAAAAAAGAAAGCCTAACCATTTTCAGCTGCTTCATCAATAACCTCCCCTCTATCATCAGGACAACAATGGGGATGTTTGCTGATGATTGCACATTGTTTAACACCGTTCGCAACTCCTTGATGGTTGCAGCACCAATAACACTTGAGAAGCTTGACACCATTCAGGCCAAAGCTGATTGACACTATGTCAACAAACATTGACTCCCTGCACCAAGAATGCTCAGTAACAGCAGTGTGTACTATCTACAGTTTGTACTGCAGACATTCATCAAGGCTGTTCAGATAATACCTTCAAGATCCACAACTGTCACCATCTCAAGCGCAAGGGCAGCAAATACAACAGAACACCCACCTGCAAGTTCTGTTCCATGCCAATCATCATCCGGACTTAGAAATAATTTGCAATTCCTTCAGAGGCATTGGATCAAAATCCCTCCCGAACGACATTGTGGATCTGCCTACTCCAAATACACAGCAGCAGTTCGAGAAAGTAGCTCATTACCTTCTCAAAGGGCATCTAGGGATGGGCAATAAATGCTGGCCCGGCCGGTGACGCTCACATCCAGTGAGTGAATTAAATGTAAATATAAGCCTTGGGTAAGACAGCCAAAAAAAAAAACAGTAAAATCTAAATCAAAAACAAATTAACTGGCCACTTTTCTCATTGGCTTTGTGGAATTGTGCTTCTCAAATTAACTGAAGTATTTGCTTACAAAACACAGTGATCCCACTCCAAAACAAATTTGTTAGCTATAAAGCAATTTGACAACATCCCTAAAGTATGAAAAGCATGATATATTCTTAATGCAACTTTCTTTGTGAAAGGTCAAAGTCCATAGTATAAGCACCACCCAGACTGAAATGGATAGTATTAAGTGCAAATAAAGTTAAGAAGTATTAATTAACAGGGCCAAACATTGTGAAATTGACTTTCCAATGCTAACATGTTAATGTAACCAAATGTCGTTTGGCTCAATTCCAATTGAAATCAATCCATTATATCTTAGTAACAGTACATGTCACATCTATTGAGTGCAATCCAGTTCTTTTACAAGTTATGAATTCTTTTGTAAACTACTAGACTACCTCTTCAATTGAGGTGAATCACTAATCTACCTGGCGCTGTCATTGTTGAGTATATTAAAAGTCATCTTCAGCTATTTACTTAGGACAAATGCTCTTCCTCACAAAGTCCTAGAGCAAATTCTTTAAATTATAGTTTGCTTAGTAAGTAGAAGCTCTTTCAGAACGAAAAAATAAACTAGATCCTCAGAAGTGCTTTACAGGCTTTTGTCTATCATTAAAATGTCTTTCGGGAATATAATTTCTAGTTATCTCTGGAAGATTTAGGGATGCTTTTCTCCTCATTGATACGCTTCATTTTACATGGAGTCCTATTTAGTGATTGTAAACGCAATGGATCATGTTCAGTTTGAGCAGATTGCTATTAGCAAATGGTATAGAGAGGAAATGCAGTTTGAACTAAGTGAACAAACATCATTCACAAGTGTAAACACATATTCTTCTCTCTTCACATCCCAAAAAGATCTGTGAGGCATAATCTTTACTGGACTATAAATTACATGTTATCGATTTTATAGAGAATTGACAGCACAGAAAAGGCCATGTGGTTTATGCCAGTATCTGTGCCAGTGAGCAACCTCCCCAATTTATTTCATCTCATCCTAAGCACACAGCTTTTCCATTTCCAATCTCCATTATGTATTTATTTAGCTGCCCTTAATGCATCAATGCCATTCTGTCAACTGCTCCCCCAATCATCAACCTTGTGGTTAGCATTGATAGGAAACTGAACTGGATCAACTATACAAATATGTGGCTCCAAGAACAGGTCAGAGACAAGGAACCACGCAGCACGTAACTTACCTCCTGATTCCTCAAAGCCTGTTCACCACCTGTAAGGTACAAATAAGGAATGTGATGGAATATTCCTCAGTTGTTTGGGTGAGTGCAGCTCCAATAACATTCAAGAAACAAGACATCAGAACAACCTGCTTGATGGTCATTCACCACTGCAAACGCCTACTGCCTCCACCATTGAGACTTTAGGGACTGCAATATGTACTTTCCTTGAGATGTGGTGCAGCATTTAGATAATGCTCTTTTGACAACACATTCCAAATCTGTGACCACTATTGTGTAGAAGGACAATTGCATGTCCTGGGGTCATAACAACCAGCAAGTTTCTCATCAAGCCACTCACCATCCTGACTTGGATCGATTACCAATTCCTTACTGTTTCTGGGTCAAGGTCCAGGATTTTCTTTCTAATATCACTTGTACCTACGCCTTGATGCCTGTAGCAGTTCAGGAGGGCATCTCGCCCCTACCTTCCAAGGACACTTGGCAACGAAGGTTGGCTTTCTTCCCAAAATGAGCTACCAGGGGAAATGGTGGAAGCTGGTACAATTACAATGCTTAAAAGGCATCTGGATGGGTATATGAACAGGAATGGTTTAGAGAGATATGGGCCAAATGCTTGTAAATGGGACTAGATTAATTTAGGATATCTGGTCGGCATGGACGAGTTGGACTGAAAGGACTGTTTCCATGCTGTGCATCTCTATGACTCCGTTATGTATCTGGTTCCAACATTCTCACTACTTTGGGTAAAGAAGTTTCTCTTAAATTTCTTACCATATTTACCAGTTCTGGTCTGATTTATAGTGCTAAGCCTGACTCACCATAAGTGGAAACATTTTTTATATGTCTACTCAATTAGAGGTCTTTAAGATACTGAAAAGTATGTATTTGATCGTCCCTAAGTCTTTACTCTGATAGAACCAACAATATTTTCCTGTTCTGTCTTTTTTATTCGTTGAAATCTCCCAGTTTTCAATTCTGAAACCCTGTATGAATTTGGAATCACAAATAATAACTGTTGTAATATTGGACATTATTTATACGAGAACGAAGAACAATAGAGCACAGGAACAGGCCCTTCAGCCCTCCACGCCTGCACCGACTCATTTTGCCCTTCCGTATTAAAACTGTCTTCACGTACAGGATCAGTATCCCTCTACTCCCTACCTATTCATCTATTTGTCCAGTTGCTTTGAATGCTGCTATTGTGTCTGCTTCCACTACCTTCTCTGGCAGTGCGTTCCAGGCACTCACCGCCCTTTGTGTGAAAAATGTGCCTTGCACATCTCTTTTAAATTCCAGCTCCCCCTCGCTCTGTCCCTACACCTTGAACCTGTGTCCCCTGGTAATTTACCCCTCTACTCTGGGGGGGAAAAAAGCCTCATACTTTCCACTCTATCCACGTCATTCACAATCTTATAAACTTCTATCAGGTTGCCCCTCAACCTCCTGCATTTCAGTGAAAACAAACCCAATCCAAACTTTCTTCATAGCTAAAATCCCCCATACCAGACAACATCCTGATAAACCTTTTCTGTACTCTCTCCAAAGCATTGACATCCTCCTGGTAGTGGCGTGACCAGAACTATATGCAATATTCCAAGTGTGGCCTAACTAAAGTTCTATAAAGCTGCTACATGTCAGAATTGAAGTTGTTTCTTGTGTTCAAATGCCTGACTTCATTTTTGTCTAATATCTGGATTGTTGGCATAATTCTAGTGTTGTGATTAAGAAGAAATACATTTATCATCAATACTTGTTGATTTTCCCCTTTAATTATAAGCCACATTTTAAGTGCCATAGGTTTCAGAAAATTCTACATGATTGTCAACTAATATTTATTGAATTGAATGGACTTTGGGGCATGTCTAAATAATTGGTGTTTATGATTGTCTTGCATTGAGACAAATTTCAGCAAATACATCAAGTAAATCCGCAAAATTATCTGAATAAACATTTGGTATTAAGTTGGCAAAAGGTGGGACTTTGGCAAAAGGGTAAACAAACAAACTAATTGAATGGTAGGTGTTATTCAGTAACAAAAGCAGAAATTGCTGGAAAGACTCAGCAGGTCTGGCAGCAGAGGAAGGGGTCACTCAACCCGAAACATTAGCTCTAATTTCTCTCCACAGATGCTGCCAGACCTGCTGAGCTTTTCCAGCAATATCTGTTTTTGTTTCTGATTTACAGCATCTGCGGTTCCTTTGGTTTTTAATTAGGTGTTATTCAGTAGCATTTCAGTTCACCAAACTCCTAACTGTCTATAGATACAGCATGAAGTGTGGTAATTGCTGATTGATTGATTATTTTTCTTTCACCAGGGCATTGAACCACTTGAAACATCTGAAGGATCTTGTTGATGATATTGGTGCCAAGATGGAAAAGGAAGCATAGGGGCAGCAATACGAATGATGAACAACTGGGGAGACTATTTCTAAAAAGCTTGTGCAATGAAATGAATTTTTTTAAAGTTTACTTGAAATGTGTATTATCATAATGTGCTGACATGTTGGTGAAGATTTGAATCACTGACCACAGTCACATTTCCTTCTAATGGCAGAATATAAACAATTGCATTTATGAACCATATTTGAGTCAATTGTGTATGTTTGCTTGTTTGTGGTTTAAAGCCACTTTCTTGAGACAAAGGCAAGTCTGTGTTGTTGGGTCATAAATTAGCTATGACCTTTTTGCATGTTAAAATGTCTGTAGGAGCTAAGTGGCCTAATTCTGTTCATACCGAATGCTGCACCATCAATACTTGTTACCCTTCCATTGAGATATTGAATGGAAAATCCCTCTTTATTTGTTGTCATGGTTGAAGTGGAGTAAAAGTCCCATGGTGTTAGTTCAAGTTAGTCCTTTCTCCACCATGAAACCGATGACTTGGCCAATAATCTTGCTGTGTCCTCATAAGATGAAGGGGAAAGTCAACAAGACAATCATGCAGTTATTCAGGATCCTGTCATTCACACTTCCTGTTATGTTTTGTTACTTGTCCTATTACTTTCTCCTCATCCTTTTTGCCACTTAATCTCTTCTGCCGTCCACAATATCACAGACTTCCCCTTATATATTTTTTTCCTCCTTTCCACTCTTTGCCTGTCTCTGTATTTCATCCCAGTAAGGAGGAAAGATTCTAAGAGAGGGATAAACCGACCGTGGGTAAACAAGGGAGTTAAGGAGGATATTAAATTGAAAGAAAAAAACATGTAAGGAGGCAAAAGCTAGTGGTAGCCCCAAGGACTGGGATTAGTTCAGAATTTTGCGAAAGGGGACTAAAAAGATAACAGAAAGAAAATAAAGTATGAGGAAAACTAGTGAGGAATATAAAACTTACAATAAAAGCTTCTTTCAATATATAAAAAAGAAACGAAAGGTCAAAGTGAACATGGACACCTTAGAAAATGAATCTGGGGAGATGATTGTGGAAAGTAAGGAAGTGGCAGAGATGTTAAACAGACATTTAGTGGCATTCTGTATGGTGGAAGATATTTTGAATATACCATTAAAACAGGGAAGGAATTAAGTACCATCACCATCAATAGAGAAGTACTATTAGACAAACTAATGGGGCTAAAGGCAGGTAAGTCCCCTGGTACTGATGGCTTGCATACTAGGGTCCTAAAAGAAATGGCTACAAAGGTAGTAGATGGTTTGGTTGTAATTTTTCAAAACTCCTTAGATTCTGGAGAACTATGAGGGAATGGGAAAACTGCCGATGTGACGCCCTATTCAAAAGGAAAGAAGGCAAAAAGTGGGTAACTATAAGCTGGTTATCCTAAGATCTATTGTTGGAAAAATGTTGGAATCAATTATTAAGGAAGTAACAGCAGAAAATTTCGAAAATCATAATCTAATCGAGCCGGGTCAGCATGGCATCATGAAAGGGAAATTGTTTCTGACTAATTTCTTAGTTTTTTGAGGAAGTCTCAACCAGAGTGGATAGAGGGGAACTACTAGATGTGTTGCATTTGGAATTCCAGAGGGTACTTCCTAAAAGGTTAAGTCAAAGAGCCCATGGTGTTGGAGGTAGTCTATTCACATGGTTAGACAATTGGCTCATGGGCAGGAAACGGCTAGTTGGGATAAGGGGTTCTTCCTCAGGTTAGTGACCTTTGGGTTCCACGGGGCTCAGTGCTGGGGCTGCAACTGTTTACTATAAATTATATGAATAGTATTTATATATAGACACAGTGGGTTGAATAGCCTCCTTACTGTAAAATTCTATGATCTTATTTTTGAGCATTCTTTATTTAGGTTTCAGATTTCTGGCAACCACGGTATTATACTTATGTTTTTGATTTTATTTATTATATTTTTCATACACTTTTGTCCACTAGGTGATGCTGTTATTCTCCAGCACCTATGTAAACTGCTGCAGATGAACAGAAATGTTTGTGTTGTTTTACAGTTTGGGGTTATCTGTAAAGCCACTTAGTATAACTTCAAAATAAGTCACCTATTGCTTCTAACTAGTGGATCAAGCAGGAAAATATGGAGATGTGAGAAATCTTTCATGCAGCGCATGATTTTGATGCGGAGTGCACTGCTTGAAAGTGTGGTGGGTGCAGATCCAATCAAGGTGTCCCAGAGAGAATTGAATTATTATCTGAAAAAAGAGAGTGCGCAGGATTATGGGAAGGAGTTAAGGGATAAGGAGTAGGTGAATTGCACCTTCAGAGAGATGGTGCAGACACAATGGGCTGAATGTTCTCCTACTATGCCATGATTTTTCAATTGGTAAGAAGAAAATAAAATTGCAGGACCCAGTTATTTGGGATGGGGAATATAAATTTTCACTCCCAGTTCTTCTTGCATGACCTTAATCCTTCAATCTGCTCCCAACCCCAATGAAATCTACAGTGCTGATTGTCCCAGAGCAACTGAAGTTAGTTTCATTCGTTTAAAACTAGAAGATGGGCAGTTGCAAATTAAAAAGTGCAAAGACTATTTTGCTTTTGAGATGGTAGGAACTGCCGATGCTGGAGAATCTGAGATAACAAGATGTAGAGCTGGATGAACACTGCAGGCCAAGCAGCGTCAGAGGAGCAGGAAAGCTGACGTTTCTGGTCTGCACCCTTCTTGAGAAATGACGGAGGGGAAGGGGATTCTGAAATAAATAGAGAAAGAGGGGGAGGCAGATGAAGGTGGATAAAAGAGTAGATAGGTGGAGAGGAGACAGACAGGTCAAGGAGGCGGGGATGGAGCCAGTAAAGGTGAGCGTAGGTGGGGAGTCAGGGTGGGGGTTCGTCAATTAAGGGAAGACGGAGAGGTCAAGGAGATAGGGATGAGGCTGGTAGGTAGGAGGTGGGCTTGGGGATTGGTCAGTGAGGTGGGAGGAGCGGATAGCTGGGAGAAAAGATGGACAGCTCACAGAGGCGGGGATGAGCTGGGCTAGTTTTGGGATGCGGTAGGGGGTGGGGAGATTTTGAAACTTGTGAAGTCCACATTGAGACCATTGGGCTGCAGGGTTCCCAAGCGAAATATGAGGTGCTGTTCCTGCAGCCTTCAGGTGGCATTCTTGTGGCACTGGAGGAGGCCCAGGATGGACGTGCCGTCCAAGGAGTGGGAGGGGGAGTTGAAGTGGTTCGCGACTGGGAGGTGCAGTCGTTTGTCACGAGCCAAGCGTAGGTGTTCCGAAAGCGATCTCTAAGTGTCCGCTTGGTTTCTCTGATGTAGAGGAGGCCACATCGGGAACAACGGATACAATATACCATATTAGCAGATGTGCAGGTGAACATCTGTTTAATGTGGAATGTTTTCTTGGGGCCTGGGACGGGAGTGATAGCCCATAAGATTCGTACTGATAGACATTAAATCAGGATCCACACGTTTAATGCTTGGCAAGTAATTGGATTTAGGTTTGGAAAGGCAGCAGTGATCAAATTGGAGAGGGTTCAGAAAAGATTTACTGGGATGTTGCTAGGAATAGAGCATTTGAGTTCGAAGGAGAGGTTGGATAGGCTGGAACTATTTTCCACGAGTGCAGAAGTTTGAGGAGTTACCTTGTAGAGGTTTATAAAATTATGAGGGGCATAGATAAGGTGAATAGGAAGGCGTCTTTTCCCTAGATATGGGGAGTTCAAAACTAGGGCTTATTTTAATAGTAGGAACTGCAGATGCTGGAGAATCTGAGATAACCAGGTGTAGAGCTGGATGAACACAGCAGGCCAAGCAGCATCAGAGGAGCAGGAAGGCTGACGTTTCGGGCCTAGACCCTTCTTCAGAAATGGCTCTGGGAGAGTGAGGCTTTGAGCTGGGGTAAGTTTGATTGTAGTGCCAGGAGATGCCGGTGCATTGCTGTGAGTGTGTGTTTCAAGAGTCGCAGGGAGAAACGCTTCTGAAGGATCTCAGTGTTCTGAATGTAGACATTGTCACGATTGGGGCCAAATTGGGAAGGCCTGAATGTGGACTGTAGTCCATTGGGGATGATCTGGTTCCGTAGGCAGGTACTAAGAAAGGTGATGTGGCTGGTTTGCTTCAGGACGTGCTTCAGGCCATTTCTGAAGAAGGGTCTAGGCCCGAGACATCAGCCTTTCTGCTCCTCTGATGCTGCTTGGCCTGCTGTGTTCATCCAGCTCTACACCTTGTTATCTCAGAGTCTCCAGCATCTGCAGTTCCTACTATCTCAGGGAGCAGAAACTCTTATTTCTTACTTATAGCTGTGACCGTGCACAATTAACAACAAGATTAGGGCATGTTGAGATACTTGTCCACAGCTTCAGAATTGCTATTTGTGTTTCTCAGACATCATTAAACTTCACCATTTACAGCCACTGCCTGCATCTTTGAAGTGGTATCTAGCCCTTGGTTGTTGTAAAAGCAAAAGATAAGCAAGAACTCTAGTGCAGTAGAAAACAATAATTTTAAAAATCTGTTTGGATCTTGAGTTTTTTTATTTCAAACCCTGGGAATCTGCACTCATCTTGACAGAGAGGCCAAAAATCTCGCTTCTGTTCCATATCATTCATCATTTTATTTTACAGCCTGCAAACATTGTTATCTTGTACAGTGAACAGGTCTAACTGTCAAAAGTAATACAGTGGGGTGCTGCAACTGATACAGTGAATATCCAAGTATACGCTATTCTAATCACATCTCTACCCTTTCTTATTGAGTAATAGATTTGCACAGCACGGAAACAGACCCTTTGGTCCAACTCGTCCCTGCCGACAAAATATCCTAAAGTAATCTAGTCCCATTTGCCAGCATTTTGGACTATCTCCCTCTAAACCCTTCCTATTAAATGTTGTAATTGTACCAGCCTCCACCAGTTCCTCTGACAGCTCATTCCATACAAACACCATCCTCTGTGTGAAAAGTTGCCCCTTAACTCCCTTTTTAAATCTTTTATCTCTCACCTTAAACCATTGCCGTCTGGGTCAAAAGTCACCCAACACCAGGTTATAGTCCAACAGGTTTACTTGAACACACGAGCTTTCGGAGTGCTGCCCTTTGTGCACACAGTGCCATCTAGTTTGGACTCTCCTACCCTGTGAAAAAGACCTTGACTATTCACTGTATCAGTACCCCTCAGGATTTTATAAACCTCTAAAAGGTGACCCCTCAGCCTCCA